GTGGGGGGCGGAGGGCGGGATCCTGGCGCGCAGCGCATTTGCAGAGTCTGACTCCGCGAGGGGCGAGCGAGGACACCCGCGTACTTCTCCCCTTCCTTGGGCTTGGGGACGGTAAAACGGGTCGTTTACTGTCAGAGCATCCTGGTTCCGTTTTGCTGCTTTCACGCCAGGGCCTTAGGCCTGTCCGAAGTCTCTTTACTGGAAGGAGTGGAGTCAGGGACTGGCTGTTCTTCCTGCCCGTCCCCTTTCAGGTTAGGTGGCCTGAGTGGAAGACAGGAGGAGGGAGGGTCAAGTTTTAGCGACTCGGAAACTTTCCTGGAACAGGAGCAGTGGACTCCCTCCTGCGCAGAGGTGCCCTCCTAGATCTCCAGTGAGGGTCTTTGAAAGAACCACAGATTTGGTTAAAGGAGACTGGAAAAGGGAGTCCTGGTGACTTGCGTGGACAGAAAGAGAAAACAATAACCTGTGGGCCAGTGACTGACTGCAGTTTGATCCACCCTTTCCCAAACTGGAGTTGACTAATCGATTGTGTGTGTTTGAAATACTTAAGGACCTATTCTTCTTACCCCGGGAAATTCTCTTTAAAATTATTTTTTACTTCGTAAGAGCGATTGTGGTGAAATGAAATAGGGTGGGATCTAGGCCCCAGGATTCCCTTAGGCAAAAAAGTGGAATCATTACAGCCAGAGACTTGTACTTGGGAGCAAGTGTATTTTGGCTTACGCTGCTTTGTATTTTGTTTTGCTTTGTTGTTTTTTATTTGGTGCTTCTGTTTTTTGTTTAAGAATTCCACTATATCCAACTCTCAGCAACCCTGGGGAACAGGGCGAACCTAGGGAACTGAAGGGTGTGCATAGTAACCAGTAGCTTTACCCTCTTTCCCTTCAAACTGAGATAACTCCCTTGTCCTATCTGACAAGCTCGCAGGGCCCAGAGCAGGGGGAGAGAAGTAGAGACAGAGGCCTGGATCCAAGTCTGAGCTTTTTGTAACACTGTTGACTCTCAAGGGCAGGAGTGGGTAGGCCTCTGGCTCTTGGCCTTGGTCTGGCAGGCTCGCCTCATTGCTCAGGGAGTCCTATTTTTTTCTCAGGGGCTACAGTGCTTGGGAATCTGGAGACCTTCACTCAGTGATCAGATTCTGCCTGTTTAATTGCCCTGTGTGGCTGTCTTGTGACTGTAAACAATCATGTTCTACAGTGGTGTGGCTGTGTGTGGCAGGGAGTCTGTGACTGAATTTGTAACTGACTCCACCGGGCAGACTACATCCAAATAACACTGGGTTCTTCAGGAGCATTCAAGAAGGGATGTCTCCCGGGACATCCCTGCCCACCCCTGGTTACCAAGAAGACAGTGCAAGGCCTCCTGCACAGCATCTTCCCCATCCCGGGCTGCTCACCACTGGGGTGATCCCGTGGGGTGGTGGGTTGCTGACTGGGAGAGTGGTGGGGAGAGTGCCTGCTGGTCCTCCAGATGTTGCAGTGCAGAAATGGGTAAATTTAGTGGAAAAAACAAACTCTTCATGCCTGACTTGTGCCTGCTTTTATGTCTCCCAGGATGAGCCGTCCTTTGCTATATCGTAACATTCTCTTTTTCTTGTCTTCTTTCTACATAAGGTATTCCACACAGATTCTCGTGACTTGAAGGTCCAGGGATTCTGGGAGGTTCAAGGTCTTCCCAGGAAGGAAGGAAATCTCTGGAAGAAAGGTGAAAGACGACAGACACTGTCCTGGGACCAGCAGAACCCGAGAAGCTGTGGGAAGCTTAAGGACCCCAGCCAGAGGCGTGGGAAGAAGCCACAGCTCCAGGCCCAGGCTGCCTTCTGAAAGAATTGAACTCAAGCTACTTTTCATGAAAGAAGGGCCACCTCAGAGGTTACCCCAGATTCGGCTGGGTTCTTCCACTCTGGATATCCCTACTCTGAAGAGCCTGTTGCTGAGAACCAAAGAAGATAAGAGGCCAGATTAATTTTCCCCCAGCCCAGCGCTGGACAACAGGCGTCAGGCATCTGCACCCCTAGTGGCTGGCTGCGGGGTCTGGTGAGGAGTTTCTGGTTCCCTCCAGCCTGCGGCTTCAGTGCTTGATGGGGCTGCCTGTTGGTAGATCAGTGTTTGCAGCACCTGGTAGGAGCGGAGAGCCGTGGGAAGAGGTCCTGCGGCGCCCAAGCCTGGGTTCACCCCAAGACTAAGTTCTTTCTCGAGTTAGAGAGGGAGAGAGAAGGCAAAAAAAAAAAAAAGAGAGAGAGAGAGAGAAAGAAGTTTCCCCCGTCCCGTTTTCCCTTCCCGTCATGTCCTCTAAGTTGGAGCTGAAGGACGTCCACCAGCTGAACGGGACTGGCCCTACTGCTTCACCCTGCTCTTCAGATGGCTCCGGCCGAGAGCCCTTGGCAGGGCCCGCCGAGTTCCTGGGGCCTGATGGGGCTGGGGTAGAGGTGGTGGTGATTGAGTCTCGGGCCAACGCCAAGGGGGTTCGGGAGGAAGACGCCCTGCTGGAGAACGGGAGCCAGAGCAACGAGAGCGACGACGTCAGCACAGACCGCGGCCCCGCACCACCCTCCCCGCTCAAGGAGACCTCCTTTTCCATCGGCCTGCAAGTGCTCTTTCCCTTCCTCCTGGCAGGCTTTGGGACTGTGGCTGCAGGCATGGTGCTGGACATCGTGCAGGTAGGACCTGGGTAGGGCAGCTCTGGCCTGTGAGTCCCGGGGACACCTTTCCTCCTGGGAAACTGGCTCTTGGAGCTTTCTCTCCACCTCCCTGGCAGCAGCTGCTGCTGCTTCCTAGAATTCTGTTTGCCTTTGAATCATATCCTCAGTTTCTTCTTGGTCTAGTGACTTACTGCAGAAGCCTCGAGGAAGCCCAGGAGCCCCGGGGACGGGGTCAGGGCAGTAATGCTTAACAGAAGCAGAATTGGTTCCAGAACTCAGGCTTGGAGGAGGAGAGATGGAATGGGGCGACTGCCTGCCATTCCTCCTGGGCATTCCTACTAAGCGTGGCTCAGTAGGACACATTTAGATGGGTCTCCGCTTTACCCTTTCTTTTTCCCTTCACTTGAGGTTTCAAGGGTACCCATAGTAGAAAGCTCAGTTTCAAGTCTCCTTTCCATCCGCCTGCTGGGCAGGAATTTGTCTGGCTGCCAAGAGGGTCTCAAATTAAACGGGAAGGTTCTTTAAAGCATTTTGTGTTGCTTATCTGCCTGTAACCTTGGCACAATTTCCTTGGGGAATGGGGTTGGGCACATGCTGTCCGATGCATGATTTGAGGGGGGTGGCATAATAAGACCTAGAAATGCTAATTCTGTGACATAAATGGGGGCAAAATGTAACCAGGCTTGGACAGAACTGTCCTCTTTGCTCCTTACCTGTCTTCGTGAACCTGCTTTAGACAAAGAACACTCTTTTTGAGGCTACCGGATAGAACTGAGGATAAGAATTGGTAGGTCCTGGGAGAGCCAGGGATATGCTATGTTAGTGTATTGTGGCTTAGGACTCACCCAGAACCTCCAGGCCCAAGAGATAGTTCAAGGCTTCTTTCTAGATAAAAGTTTCTGAAGCACGATAAGGCACACAGCTTTCTGAAGATGCTGCATTTAACTAAGTTAATCATTAGCAGTTATCAAATTTCTGCTGAGTACTGGGCTCTGTCCTCCGTACTCAGAGAAATACCAAATGCTGAGGCCGAGGGAGATCTGGCCTCCCCCCTTTAGGACCCATCAATGTGTCCCTGACCATGAAATCTCAGGAGGATGTGGAGCTCAGCATCCTCTCTCCTGTGCCAGTCCAACCCTCCAAATGATGCATGTGGTGATGCAGAGTCCTGCTGGTGGGTCCCACCATGCTCTTGTCCCAGGGAACTGAGGGTGGTAGGTTCTCGGTGGTTCCTTCTTTGACTTGAGCCCTTGAGGAGAACCCTGCACCTTTGGTTGCTAATGAGGGTGTTGCTTATGTCATGCCAAAGTGCCTTGTCCTGCCTCCTCTCACCCCTAGCTTGCTACCTTGAGAACTGTTCCTCGTGCAGGTAAGGAAGCCAGCATGGAGCTGGGAAGGTGAGCTCTGGATTCCTCCCCCCAGTGGCTCCTCCTCTTCCTAGTGCAGTGAGAGGTGGGTAATAAGAGGTAGAAGAAATGAGACTTGGATAGCAGTTTCTCCACCTTTTCCATCCCTTTCCTGTGGCCTTGGTTCTCATTTTTAGAGTTTTTGAGTTCTGGTTTGGTACCTACAAAAGGGTATATATAGAAGCAGGGTTCAGTGGTGAACTGGGAGAAGGTTGTTTTATTTTCTGGGTAATACTGATATGGGGAGCATTTGCTGGGCTCCTCTGTAGGAGCCATAATCATCCCCATTTTGTAGATAGGGAACATATGGCTTAGAGCAGTTAGGTAACTTGTCCTTGGTCATCTAACTCAGAGCCTGGCCATTAACCTTCGTGGCCTTCACCATGACCATAATTTGCCAGTTGGTTAAAGATTCTGGGAGAATTCTGCTCTCTTTGTCTTCCCCTGAAAAACAGGGTGTACTGAAATCTGGAACAATTGGAGTTATATTCTAGAGCGAGCAAGAACAAAAGTTCTTAGAGGGCCCCCTGCCTTCTCATCCCACATACTCAGAATTGTAGAGCTGGAAAAGTCTTCTGACATCTTGCCCCACCCCCACCCAACCCCTACAAGCCTGAGACATTGAGAGACCTAGGTAGGGAGCCTTTGGAGCCTGCCCAACACACCCTCAGAGGGCCAGCATTTGTCCTCGGTGTGGCACCTAAGCTCGCTGCAGAGTTAGGTCCAGTTGGTATGGATGACAGTATGGCTGGATTGTCCCCTTCCCCAGCCTCCCTACCACAGCTCAGCTGGAGCAGGCCCTGCAGATAGCTGAAGTGGTGTCATGGGAGAAAGTGGGTGCAAGACGTGAGACCACAAGGAGATCCTTAGTCCATATCTAGGGGAGCAAAAGGGGCAACTGACAATCTCAGATTCAGGAAGAACAGGATGATTTCTAAGGATTCACACCTGCATTTTCCATCACACGCTAAGATAGCCTTCAGTGGGGCAGAGTCTGGGAGTTCCTAAGAGCCTGGGGCCATCTGGAGGAGGTGGCTGTAGAGTGTCCCCAGTGTCTCAGAGCAACTGAGCAGAAGTCCATGTTGGTGCAGATGTTTCCTTGGCCCAGGGCCCCCAATCTTTCCCCACTGCCGCAGAAGACCCAGTCTCTTCCTGGAAGGCCCATTTTTGTCTCCTCTTATCTGCCCTCCTCTCTGCTCTCTGTGTACAGCTCCAATTTCCCCACTGTGGCTGAAAGTTCCTGCAGCATTTGGGAGGGAAAGCAGGGTTGGGCCCAATGTTGGAACTGAAGTGGATTGGGGCATGGGAACCTCCCTGCTGCAGATGCCTTGTGCCCCACCCCCTAGTTTGGTCCTGGCTGCTGCAGGGCACCTCACTCCCTGTTTTGGTCAGCCTTCTAAGGAATGAGGGTGGCAGGAAGTGGTATGCACACCTTCACTGGAATTCCCAGCTGTGTTAGGATGGGTAGGACTCCTAGGTCCTTATTTTAACTCACTCCACTGCTCACTTGCTGAGGATGCCAAGGAAAGCAAACCCCCCTGCCCCAAGCACCTCCTTTTCTGGCTTCTCTACCTACTGAGTATATGGGAGCATCTACAAAGATGAAAGTGGATGGCAGGCATGGGCTTGGGCAAGTGGATTGGGAAAGAGGCATTCTCTCCCGCCTGGCCTGCTCCCATGGCTGTGGGCATTCCTGGGCATGACACTCAGGTTCCATCTCACTTGACCACCCCTATCTCACACTTTGTCCAGCTCTCTAATCCTGGCGTTGCCCTGAAGCCCTTCTCCTTGGATAACTAGAGGATACCTGCAGAGTTGTGTGTGTAGGGGGGACAGTGGCTCAGACAGGTGAAGACCGGGCTTACTCTAACCTGATCTGAAAGATGGGCTCCAGCCCCACTTCCCAGGTTCTCCCACAGCCCTTGCGTAGAGCTTATCTCTGTGGATTTCAGTCTCAATGTCTTGGCTCCAATTCTTCCTGGCTGTGACTTTTTTCCCCGTTGCTACCCTCCTGGAGGGGAAGAGGCTCAGGACAGAACACTGTAAGGCAGGCAGGGGTCAGTGTATGAGGCCAGAGGAGGTGATAGTTGGAAGGGCAAAGAGGAGGTCCTGGCAGGGCCACTGAGGTGACTGCTCTGAATCAGGATTATTTCTGAGTGTGGGGTGCACAGTCTCATCCCTCACCCCCAGAGTATCAGGGACCAGTGAGCCCCCACCTCCATAAGAAAGACCTGGAAGAGGAGCTGCATTTCTGAGAAACAGTGAAATGTGTAGATGCACCCCCAACCCCTGCCCCCAGTGGGGCCGTGCTTCTTGGAACACACTCTTTTCTGTCCCCAGCAGAGCAGGAAGGCGTGGGTGAAGGTTTGGCTGACAGGGCTGACGGGTTTGACTTCAGGGGCAGGCCCTCCCTGCCAGGGTGAACAGGATGGGCCTGAATTAGGCCAAAGCAGGAAGGACACACTGTCTGCCCCTGCCTCATACTGCGGACTCCTGACCTCGGGGCCACCCTGCTTCCAGGCTGCTTCCACATACCAGCATCTCTTCCCAGAGCCCTGTGTGTGTGCACCCTGGGCTGCATCTTTGAGCGGGTTTTGTGGGTAAAGAAAGTATGTAGGAATTGGCTGCTCTAACCCAAGTGCCCACTTGGCTTCACTGGGCCGGACTCGGGTTGCGGGAAGTTCTGGGCTATATTCTGTGCAGTTGGGAGGACTTGCACAGGGGCTGTTACTGTGGCTGCCTGTTCTCCTTGCCTGTCTGTCTCTCATCTTAGCACCACTAAAACCCCACACCTCCTAGGTCCTTGTGTATTTAAGG